ATGTTGTGCATTAGCATCTTAGTCTATGTATGCTGAACCCACACTGCACTGATCATATTCCAAAGGAGGGCAAGCCAGAGCAGAGGACAGCACAAGTAGGCAGCAGCCCTGCAATTGCAGTAACATTCATGAAATTGCTGTGGAGAAAGGGGAAGCAATATGGGTTCATGAGGTTTACCATAGAAAATAATTCTTTTAACTTTGCAGTCAGGCGTGCCCAGGGGAATTGCTGGGAATCTGAAAGGTCTTTCCCACATCACACATCTCTCTCCAGCTGGAGAAAAATTCCCCCTGACGGGTCTGTTGTTCTCCACGGTTGACAGTGCCATTTTGGAATGCACTGTAAGGGTTGTTTGGTGCTGTTAAAGTTCCTCCAGAGCTGATAGGCACCTCTCAAATCTGCCTCCTCACTCCCTTGCACACTTCCAGTGCCTCTTCAACATTATTCCCAAGGATTGCCTGGGGCACACAGTCAGAGGCTAAGGATGGGATTTTCAAAAATAGCTAAGTGATTTGGGAACACAAGTCCCATTGACTGTCAATGGACTTGTGCTACTAAGTCACTTAGACCCAGAGCTGCAAAGGTATTTAGGGACCTAACTCCCACTTAAATCAATGGGAGTTAGGTGCCTAAATCCTTCTGAGGATCTGAGCTTGGTTGCTTTTGAAAAATCACACCCAAGGAGTACAAACTGTTGATGGTACTGAGGGCACCCTTCTGCATAGGAAAAATGCCTATCAGCAAGCAGAGGTCTGCTTTTATCTCACCACTGAAACATAGGCCAATAGCTTTCAAATGCCATCTGGCCCAATAAATAACACTGAATTTCTGCAAAGAAAAACAGAAAACCACTTCCTACAGGACAGGTGGAACTCTGGAAATAAATGATTGTATGTAAAAGTTTGCTGTTTTATCTCACTCCAGAGCCAAGTGCCTGTGCCCAGGTGAATACATGAGGCCAAATGCCGCATGGATTTACACATCATGTGCAAATCCCTCTGGGTATCAAAGCAGTGCAAAATTTAGCCCTATGGCTAGAAGCTCTAAAGAAGGAGAGCTCTGCATTGGGAAAAAAGCGGTGAAAGGGAGAAAGAAGAGAGTGTTGCCATAGAAAGCTTCATTTGCATAGTCTACCTACCCACAATTCCTCTAGTGACACTTGGGAAGTCAGCATAACTAAACATGAACTTGGGTTTTTGGGGGTAGTGATCTCTGAGAGAGGCTTGAGAGGGGAAAAAGCTCTTACTTTGTGGTAAAGAGATAATTTCCAAGTAGCTATACTGCTCAAGAACCCTAAGTACAGCTGCGTGAATTTTTTCAGATGAATAGTTTATTCACCAAAAGATGCAATTTCAGCAGTCCTGAAACTATTTGCAAATTTGGCCAGATTTGTTTTGAGTGGGAAAAACTTTTTCTAGGCCAGCAAAAGTGTATTAAAAATACACTTGTTTTCTAAGTGGAGATATAGCCTAAGGTCCACAGACAGACTAGAATGGCTCTTAATAGCCGATTACTCCCAATTTCCCTCCTCAAAAATGCAAATTTTCCTTTTTAATTAAAAAAAGAAGACGACAAGATATATGAAAGACAAAATATGAATTCTGGTGCCTAAATTTAAGCACCCAAGTCTGAACATTTTGCCCCAATACCTAAATAAGAAAATGAGATCTGTAAAGTGCTTGTATCCTAGAGCTAGGATTCAATTCAATTAGGATTTGTGTTTAGATTGTCTGTTATTTCATATGTACACACGTACCCAGAGATTGGGTGTTGCTCACATTTTACAAATTCAGTTTCAGGTATATCTGTATTGTGCATTCCCTTAAAGCCCTTTTATGGAAACAAAGCTGTTGCAGATTAGAAATGTGTAACATCTACCCTGTTCTCTTTCACTGAACCCCTCTGTTCATTGATTTACAATAAACTGCATTTTCACTGTCCCCCAAGGGTGTGCACAAGGCCAGAGCAGAATGCTTTCACTGATTGTAATATAGAAGTGAATGGACCTGTAAGTTAATGTTTCAATGGTCCACTTTATTTCTTTTTCCTTTCAGAAAATGAAAATGTTCTACATAAGCCAAGTTCAATGACTGGTTATGCAATTAGCTATCTCCCAGGACATTTGACCTCAAAAATGGACCTGGCTGTGCCAAGAATGAGTGTAGCAAAAATGCAATCCCTAGCATTGGTTCCAGCTACAAGTATGCATCACTTGGAAACTGGGAGCATTCCAAGGGCTAAAAGTGAGTTAACTGGAGGATAGAGGTGTTTCATGTTCATCGCATATAGTATTAATCCAGCAGTTGAAGAGTTAACTGTCTCCCAGCCTAGGCACCTGGGATTTGGTGGGGTATTGAGTTGCTGTGTTCCTATTATTTGGAACTGAAAGGAAATAGGGAAAAGAAATACATAGTTGCAACTGGTGTTCTAGGCTACACCTGAATTTAATTAATGTAATTAACATTGTGTTTGTAGTTTTTTCCATCAATATATTTCAATACAGTTGTTAATATATATGCATTACAGGTTCAAATCAGTCAAAACAGGTTTTGCATATAAAGCAAAATTAATATAATTGCCACCATCAGTCAAAGATTGGGATACAAACATGTTAAACTACATGGTATTTGCACAAACATAAAACAAGTTTTGAACCTGGTGGTCCAATCAAGTTGAAGTCAAAAAGTCACAATGAATATAAATCAAAACCCCATGAAACTACCCTATTTCTCTACCTGATGTGACAGAAACTAGGCATCTACAAAATTTACTAAGCCCACTCATGAAAAGCCACATTATCATTTCACCCCCCACTAACAATGGCTCCTTCCAGTGGGAATAAACATTCATGCCTGAAACTTGAACTCAAATCCCTGCATAGTACGACTGTACAAAAAATTATGTCTAGTAAAAGGAAAAAGAAGACTGCAGAGAAAAAAGGAGAAGTTGTCCTGTGTATATATGTTGTAACCTATACGTCACCTGGAACATAAAATCCACATTTATTTTAGTCATAGTGGACAGTGAAACACTCAAGAGGAAGATAAAAGTTAGGAGTATCTTCTCCATGAGAACAAAGAACCAATTGCACATGTCCAAACCCTTTATTTTGTTCTCAAAGTTTAAAAGCACAGAATTCCTATGAAATCACAGCAGAGATGTGAAGGAGCACTCTGGGTACTGACAAAACCAAGATCCAAATTAAGATGTAGCGTAAGCTGCAGAACTGCAAAGAATGTACATTAGCTCTAATTCTGGTATAGCTTTAAAATTCCCATGACCAGTGACCATTTATCTTTTTAAACCCGAACAACCTTTATTCAGGTCATGTTGGCAGCTGTCATCATGTTTTGTACTGTGAGAGCTTATCCATACAATACTGGAGCCTGACTTGGTATTAAGCAGAATGTATGCAAACCCCACACAAAGATTTGGCTAACAATGGTTGGAAAGGGAGATTTTTGAAGGCACAAATGGAAGTTGGATGCCTAACTACCATTGACTTTCAATAAGAATGATGGGCCTAACTGTAATTTGTACCTCTGAAATATCGCTCCCATAACAAGTAGTAATTCTGGTCATGTTATCAGTTGTATGAGTAAACTTTTGAGAAGTGAGATAGAGTATTTTAACATCAGGGTAAAGTAATAAATGTGTTTTACACAGTGATAGGGATAATTAATACACCTCTACCCCGATATAACACGAATCCGGATATAACACGGTAAAGCAGTGCTCCGGGGAGGCGGGGCTGCGCACTCCAGTGGATCAAAGCAAGTTCGATATAACACGGTTTCATCTATAATGCGGTAAGATTTTTTGGCTCCCGAGGACAGCGTTATATCAGGGTAGAGGTGTATTAATGAAATTAATGACACGGAGTCTTACTCACTCTGGTGAACAATTACTCAAGTGAGCATACCCACTGGCTTTAATGGGACTACCTGAGTAAGTGCTTCCTCATATTAATAAGGGTGGAACAATCTAACCCACAGCTGGAGCTGAACTACCTTATTCATAGTGAAAAATTTACTTGACAAATGACTAGCCCATTTTTTCTTTTCACACATTATCCACAAATAGACTGGGTTTAACCTATTTATTTTTTACTGGACAAACATTTTATATGAACATATTTCAAGCCTAGAGGTCATAGGTGAACCTTTCTCTTAGTTTGGCATTTGAGGTGGTGTGACTGGTGACTTACATCATGAAAAGCTGGTCCAATAAAGAGAAACATTTGGCAATTTTTTAAAAGATTTTTTCCCAAAACTTTTTTTAAATTCAAAATTTCATTGAAATGTTAAGATTCAGAACATGTTGATCAGCTCAAATCATATGACATTATTTCTGCTCCCTGACTGGATGAAATTTTACATAAAAAGGAAGAGGGAAATTAAAGTAATTTCATAGATTCTGCTGTCAGAAGGGATCATGCTGATCATCTAGTCTGTCCTCCTTTCAAACACAGGGCACAGAACTTCCCCCAAATAATTCCTAGAGCAGATCTTTTAGAATAAAACATCCAATCTTGAATTAAAAATGGTCAGTTATGGAGAATCCACTTTGGTAACTTGTTCCAATGTTAATGATTAACTTCACAACTACCAGACAAACAGTTCTGTGTTAAACTTCATGGAAACACATTCTCCTGATTATTCACCAAAATTTCACTTTCAGTGAACATTCTTACAAAAAAAAGTTCACTCATATGAATGTGCAAATACTTTTCTTTTATTTGAATGAATTTGTGCAAACACTTTTTTGAAGTATTGTGTTTGTCCAGGATTAGATATAATGCAAAATGAGAGATGTAGTGATGGGTTGATGTATTCTACTTGTTATATGTTATTACTAGATCTAATAGAAAAGGATACTAAGAGATACTGAGAATAGCAAACAAAGGACCAGAATCCTTAGCTGGTGATAATCAATGGAACTACATTGATTTCTGCCACCTGAGAATCTGCCCACACATTATTTTCATCAAATCTATTACCTTATGAGGTCAATAGGCTGATACTTGTAAAATGCTCCATATCTTGCCCATTCTTGATACAGCAACTAAATGAAAAGAAACACAGAAAATTAACTTAAAACAACTATTTGCAATTGAGTTACAAACATTTTTTTTTTTTTTTAGTGTGAACTTGGGACTATTGTACCTATCTGATCAGTTTTATGCTGCTACAATTCCTATGCTACAAATTTTTGCATCAGGATTCCATTATCACTTGATGTTCCTGGATCTCAGGCTACAGAGAAGCATCTCATGTGCTAGACAACGATCCTTTATTCAGTGGTTCACATATCTGAGCAAAGTTTACATAAAATAACTAAAAGCAGGAGCAAAGAAATCAACAGAAATTTTAAAATAGAGACTGGCTCCAACTCCCATTAAAGTCAAATGAGTAAGATTGGGCCCTAATTATTATCAATGGGATTTTCAAAAGCAATCAGTATTTATCTAATTCTGCTCCCAGTGAAACCAATAGTATTACTCACCATTCCACCCCGCTTGACTTTACTATGACCAGAGAAAGGCCCACCTTGAGCACTATTGAAAATGCCATCCTACCTCTTTCTTTAAAAAAAAAAAACACTATATGGTGAATGTTATTGTAATGCTCACACTGCGGCATTTGATTTTTTAAGTCCAAAGGAAAAGAAGCAGTGGAGAGGAGACATGGATTTGAACTGAACCTTCTGCATGGCAGCCCAACTTAGAAGAGCACAGACGCATCTAGAAGAGGGATGTGGTAGTTACTGGATATGCTCAGTAGCTGTCTCTGAAGCTGCACAGAAGGTTTCCATTGAGAGTAAGCAATTTTACGGGTTACAAACCCTCAGCATCTGAAAGCTGAGAGCTAATCAGAACTCAAGGAGTGAAAAGTTATAAATGAGGTAGTTGGAGACAGCCCTCTGACCTCAGCAAGTGATTGATTCATGGCCAAAAGAGGTGTGTGCTGTAAAGGATGTGTCCAAATACCAGTACCGATTTGGATCTGGGGGGTGCGGATGCCTGTGTTTGCTGGAAATTGAGGAGACAGTCACCTATTGCCTTGGGCATTATAAAGGCTGTTGTCTGGGAGAATCTTTCTCATTTTGCTGAGAAGATTTTGAAAGGTTTGGAGGGAAACCAAGAGGTCACATTCTCCTCAGACCCTGGAGAATCCAGGTGACCCTTTTGAGGCCACACTCTAGAAACTGAGAAATTGTCTTCACAAGAAGATCAGAAAGGAATGTATCAGTATGTGTGTCTTGTTGAAATCATTCACTGCAATACCTGTAGGCTTAGCAGAGTTGACTTAGCAGAGTTCAATCTCTATATTTATTTTATAATTTTGACAGATAATATCGGTCTAATTTTAAGCATTTTTTATTTTTATCTATTTAAATTTTGGGATAAATTATGAGGGGTGTCAGACTGTAATAACAATAGACATTGAGATTCAAAAAGTTAAAGCTTTATAACTATTAAAACACAAACTGTCAATATCACAGGTTAAAACAAAGTAAAGATCCTTAAATCAAACTCCAGTAGGTTCTCAAGCAGCATTTTTCTTACTGTGCCTATCTGTCAATTTTGTTTATTGTCAAAGGAAATATTTTTTTCATTGGTTTACATGTGACTGGTGAAATTGACATTTACTGACATTTAATTACAAAAATCTAATCTTTCCTAGCCTAAATATATTAACCTATGTAATACATGTAACAGCAGCAAAGTGGGGAAGTCTGGATAAAGAAGAACACCAATAGGCTTACTGGCTTTATTAAGCATTCTAAATACTATTTGTAATGTTTATGTGTATTAAATATTTGTTTTGTTTATTAAGAAATTGCTTCGCTTTTTGAAGCTGAGAACTCTTATTAACAGTTACATTCAGGATTCTTGTATATCATAGCTCTAAGATTTAAATCTGTTTAACACCCTGCTGGGCTCTGCCTCAGGAGAGTTTTAAGCCGAAGTACAGGGAAGAGGGAGAGTAATAGTTGTACATAACATTACCTCTCCCCCCACACACACACCGTTGCCCATTGTGTTATGTCATACTGCATTTACTACACAAGTGGAGCTGGGAAAAATTTTTGGATGAATAGTTTATTTGCCAAAAAATGAAGCTTTGCTCAACCCGAAACTATTTGCAAATTTGACCCAATTAGTTTCAGCTGGGGAAAAAAAAAACCTTCTTCCAGGCCACCAAACTCTGTGTATCTGTTCCTCCCTTTATAGCCTTTAGCCCAGTGATTAGGGTACTTGCCTGGGATATGGGAGACCCAGGTTTGAATCAGATCTCCCCCATCCCCGGTGAGCACCCTAATCACCAAGCTATAGGCTACTCTGGGGGCAGGATGCTCTCAGTTTGCCCTGTAGAACACTATTCCACTTTGTCTAAACTACTTAAACATTCAGGAGATCATAGACTTGAACTCAGATCTCATCCCTTACCGGGCACATATCCTAATCACCAGGCCATAGACTGTTCTGCTCACTGTCTCTCCTGTTGACATTATTCCCCTTTGTATAAATACTTAAATATTCACTGAGACAAAGAGAGAGTGAGAATGACTCTATAGCCTGCTTATCAAGGCACTACTAGGGAGGTAGGAGATGTGGATTCAAATCCCTCCTTTGAAACAGGCAGAGGGAAGATTACCAGAGCTTGCAAAGCCCTGAATGGTATTTTAAAACATCAAAATAAATACAGCATTTGGGACTATTCCTATAAAATACTGTTGTCACAGGAGGCATGAACATCAATTTTGTAGAGGCCCTCCTTGGAGGCATGTGTAATGTAATGAATCCCTGTATTCACACCCTACACACCATTGTAATAAATATGCCTGTATTCACACCCTACACACCATCTGTATAAAATATGCCTGGTATGGTATCATTTGAAAACCAATAACTTGCTGGTCAACAATATCATGGTGAAATGTATGTTGCAACATTATATGTAAAGTTATGGACTTAGGCTGAAAACATGACTGAAGTATGTTTTCCAGACAGGTCTGGGAAGTGGGTAAACTTGTTTCTCCAAGACAAAGGACAAGTTGATGTTTCTATACAGGTGTCATCGAAGCTGATGGGCCATCACCTATCAAGTGGCCATTCTTTGGCAAGGAAGGGGGACAGGAACAAACAGATATGCATCTTAGCAAACAACAGCATAACACCTCTTCCCTACCAGACTCCATGTGTCCTGTTCTCAGTTAGAAAGAACTTTAACTGGGTATCATACTCAAGAAAATGCTTTTCTAAGGGTGACTTAACTACAAAAGTGAGGGGCAAAAACACACTAAGATCTCTCTCATCATCCATCTCTCTCATTTTACCTAAGAAGACAAAAGAAACAGCCATTGGATCTTGGGAGCAGATCCTGGCCAAGAGCTTGGTCAGCAATATACTGAAAACCTGTGGTAAGAATTTCACCTTGAAAACCAAGTTAAGTCTATTAAATTTAGTACTAGGAAGTGTTTTATCTTTATTTCTCTTGTAACCATTTTTTGCCTCATTACTTGTACTCACTTAAAACCTCTCTCTTTTTAGTGGAATAAACTCATTTTATTTTTTAAATCAAAACTAAAACAGTGTTGTGGAAGGTAGAAAGCTGTTGTATCTCGATCCCCTTAGATAGGCAATAGACGTAATATATCTGGACTGTTCAAGGGAGAGCTAGACAGTGCAGAACACACTTTTCTGAGGAAAAATTCAGGACTGGGAATGTGTTGGGGTCACCTGGCATGTGTTAACCAAGGCTGCTGGAAGCCAAAATGTGGCTGGTGTTTGCTAACAGACTTCCGGGGTCCGAGTTGCTGGATATGGGCTGTGGGCATGCACAGACATACAGGGTGCGACCTGAATGCTGTATGTGAGGAGCCCAGGTTGGGAGCCACAGCAGCAAAGCATTGTAAGGTACCCCAAGTTGCAGGGCAGGTGGTGACACAGCTCCACACTGGTCTGGAGTGTCATAGTATGCAATGGATTCTAGACACCAAGTTGCTCTCATTGGCTCAAGAACAGCAGGTTAACTACTTCAACAGTCACAGGAGCCTATTGTTTATTGAAGTAGGACTAAGATGGAATGATAACAAGAGGCCTGGATTTTCAGAGTTCCCTGGCCATGAGATTCAGTGTTTTCAGTAAAGCATATATTTAAGAAAATAGACAGAAGCTGGATATTAGGATAAAAAAAAGATGGCCAGAAATGTCTTTTGCAGAGGATAGAACCATGAAGATGCAGCTGTAGATGATATATCTAACTGCACATTGTAATATTATTTCCACAAAAAGGAATTTAAAATATAGTTCCAGCTTTATGCTAAAAAGAGAGCATTCTGCATTTAAATTCCACTTGATGAGCATATTTGTAGGCCATTGGTATCAGAGTTGAACCAGACATGCAATGCCAGGCTATGGTGTGGACGCACACATCCACATCCACACCCACTCACACAAAATGGATGTACTCAACAATAATAATAAATGAAAGAGTTTAGGAAAAAATCTGAAATCCTGCTGATGCCTCATGGAAAGCTGTGAAAAAGACTCTAGAGATAATGCTGCTTATGTTTCATGGGGCAAGTTCTTCCCTGATGTAATTCAACTGATGTCAGCGGGATTACACCAGAGATAAGTATGGCCCAACGTTTCTAGATCAGAGGTGAAGTGATTGCCAAAGCAAATTCTAAATGGGTAAAGTGGAGTGAATTATGTGCTGACGGGTGGACTGGTGAGACAGAAAAAGGAGCTAGCAGGAAGGTGGAACATACAGCAGTGGGAGCAACTGCCTGCCCTTCTCCTCTACCTCTGAGGCTCCCACTCAAAAGATCACATGTAGCAACTTCTCTCTGTCAGAGAGAGAGGGAGAATTCAGGCTTCACCAGAGGCTACTAAGGGGTAAAAATCAGACCGCAAGGGAACAGAAAGTCAGGGAGAGATGCATATGCTTTGTGGATAATATCCAGATGACACAACTTATTTGGCCTTACAAAATCCTTTGTCAAAGTTCCTCACAAGAGGCTATTAAGGACACTAAGGCCTGGTGTTCACCTCA